ACGGATAAGTGCTGCATGCAAATAACTCGCCACTCGTGTTAGTGGAAGAGTGGCACAAGTACAGGCAGAAGCAGTGGGGCCATTAAATTTATGTTCCCTCACCTTCATTCTCACAGTTCTGCCATGCAGTAGTTTGGACTGAAAACTAATGCTTCGTACAAAGAATAAAGGGTCCCTGATATCCTAGGCCCAATATTGGGGGGGGGGGGGGGGGGGGGGGGGGGGGGGGGGGGGGGGGGGGGGGGGGGGGGGGGGGGGGGGGGGGGGGGGGGGGGGGGGGGGGGGGGGGGGGGGGGGGGGGGGGGGGGGGGGGGGGGGGGGGGGGGGGGGGGGGGGGGGGGGGGGGGGGGGGGGGGGGGGGGGGGGGGGGGGGAGGGGAAGAGACATACTTACATATGTACACAGAAGTAAAATAAGTAAAACACATGATTCATATTTTTAATTTTGCATTTACAGTGCAATACCTCCTATGTGCAACGACTTGTGAGCAACAGCTTTAGGACAGCACTGCATCAAGATAATTACTTCTGTTTAAAACAAAATGAGTTACTAAGGTGAACAGATTGAGTAATCAAGCTCAATTAAGCATGCGCAATATGCACTGTAACAACATTCACTCTTTGGCAAAGTGATAAAAAAGCTTTATTTTCTTTTGATTTCTGGTAGTCTACCTCAAAGAACCGTTCATTCCTACTTCAACCCAGCTAGCGTTTCCGTGAAGATCTATCATGAATTTTAGCTACTTTGCCAAAGATATTGTTGGGAAGGGGGAAACAAAGAAAAAACATCCTACAGCTACAAGCAGGAGACAATATTAGCACCTACACAGGCATCAGGCTTCGCTGGTACAGTCCACGCTCTGGTCAAACATTGTTTTCGTGTAGGAGAGTGGTGTCGTGCTTTGGAAGAGAAGCCACTTTTGGGGCTATACACCTATGAGAATGTTTCAAAAGACAGTTTTCTTCCCATGCAGCAGAATGGTTTGTAGCTTCAGGAAAACTACATTAAGTAACTTGTGGCTTGGCACAGGTATTTTAATTTATTATTATTGTTGCTGTTGTTTTTGTTGTTGCTTTTGTTGCAGCTAACATAAAAAAGCTATAGAAATCTCACCTCCTTCTATACCCAGAGCAACACATTTTGCTTTGGTACCAGAAGATGGAGCCATACACTCACAGTTTTAAAGTGATTTTTTTTTTCTCCTGTTCTGCCAGAAAAAACACCCATGAAGCAGACAGTGCCTAGAAACTGCTCTCTTACCTTACATGAACCTGCCTTTTTACTGCATCTATGCGTACTGCTAATCTGGTGCATGCCTTACCCTATGTCAGCTGCCTTTCTCAGATGTTTCCATAACAACTGAATTTTCCTTACTGCAAATATATTTTCTGAATTGCCTACCATGTCAAAATGAAATCAGGAAACAGAACCAAAATAAGCCAGGCATTTCCAACTGCTAAAATATCACACTTTTCATTTCCTTCATGAAAGGATATTAAAGGAAATCATACATGTCCCAGAACCATCAACGTAAGACTCTTAACTCCTCATCTTGTTAAAAGGCCAAATAAATATAGATATAATATCATGTTTACTCTGTGTCCTAAAGCTTAAAAATGTGTGCTCAGATAAGAGAATAGGCTAGGTTTGTACACTGCAAACCCTTCAGCACTGCTGCAGTCACTCAGAGTAAGCCACGCATTTGATGCCCGAGGCATGTGCCAAAAAAAAAAAACCCAAACCCAAACCCCCAAAAAACAGTGGGAGATGCTATGCCATGGCTGCTCCCTCAGGCCCTGCTCTGGGCAGCTCCCATCCACTACCCTGCAGATGCATCCAGGCTGTAGCAGTGTCAGTGGCAGCTGCTCCACAGGCAGGGCAGGCAAGGAGCATTGCTGAACCCCCCGCAGCTCCACGCTGAGCGGTGGGACAGGGCCGGTCAAGTCTGACAGCAAGTCTGCTAAACCCTGGCCCTTAGCCAACAGAGTGTGCGCTTGTCCTACTGCATACAGCCACCTCCATGATACATTAAGATGAAAAGAGCCTTTGTAAAGTGACATACATCTGAGGGGAAGAGAAACTCTTCACTAAAGGTATTAAAGCCTATTAGGGCTTTCCTTTGTTGGCTACTTGCTCCTTGTCAGCTGTATGAGCAGCCAGTCCTAGAGTCAGATCAAAGCAAGATAATGGCATTCCTAATAAAGCCAGCAGAGATCTTTCAGGTAAAAATGTTTATTGTTCAAGAACACTATCAGGTCCTTTCATGTCCTTTCCTGATGTGGCAATGTCCCAAGTTACTACAGAACTGTTTTAAATACAGACTTAATTATTCTTTTTGCTACTCTTTCAGACTGATCTCAGGCAGCAGAAGCAGGTGACTAGTTTTACTCTCATTCATTTCCTTAGTACAATGCCATAACCTCTTTATAACAAATCCTCCACCACAACACTTAACATCTCTCTAATGGGACATCAAAAACGAAATCAGCAAAACATTCTAGCAAAGTGGTTCACCAAACAAAAAATCATTTATTTTTTTACAAAATCTAACTATGGGACAAAGCATGCTGCCTCTATAACCCTGAATGCTGCAACCTGCTATCAGCAGTAGATATCCACATGTGGCTTCAGCTCCCACCAGTCCTTGGGGAACCACTATTTGATGGGGAAAACCAGAAGGGTGTGTGTAACACTGAGTGGAGCCCACAGCAGGTGAGATTGACCCAAGTGTCATCCTCTATCCAGAGCTTGTAGGTACCACAAGAAGGCTTCAGCATGTGGAACAACTAGAGTAATAGTTACTACTAATTCTCAGCTTTTATTTAAAATATTGTACTTGCAAGCTTATATCCACCAATTAAAGGCACCCCGGGTGACAAATCTGAAGAAAATGTCATGCGATCCTTTTTCCCCACCCATTTACTTCAGTGCTGCAGCTGAAAGCCTAATTATAGCTTTGGTTGCCAGGATTCTGAGCAGTGTCTCTAGCATTCCCTGTACGATTTTTGGACAATCACTTAAAAACTTGGATTTGCTTCCTTTTCCTGTAATATATGAAGAATACTCAAAGTCCTCAGGGGAGCACTACGTTTGGGAATCACTTTGGGGCTATGAAAGCACTCCGTAAAGGTGTAAGGGAGCTCTGGGTTGGGATGCTGAGGCAGGACAAACCCTCAACGTGAACAAAAAGGACTTGCATACTCTTCCTATCCATAGTCTGGGTCCCTTGCAGAGCAGCCACAGCTGTAGCAGTGGTCCCAGTCAAACTGCAGGAGGTGGAGACATCTCAGCCATGTACCCAGTTCAGGCAGAGGTCAACTGTGCAGCAAAACCACCAGAAGCGGCTGTACCATGCACCTACCAGGCTTAATCCACATTAGACTACAAAACCCACAAAGGACACCCGGGCAGCACTTGTATAGTATGCTAGATGTATTCCAAATATGTCACCTGCACTGTTCGTGCTCTCTCTGCTCAGAGAGAAATGGAAATCCCAGACAGAAATACAGGATTCCTCTTGCACTGAAACGACGGCAAGCTGAGGAAATCTCCAGGAGGAAGCAGAAAAGGCCACGCTGTTGATAGACTATTGTGTCTGCAAGATGGATGAGAACTTGAACTCTTTTGTAAGGAGACCAAACATATCACTTAATAAAAACAAGGCATCCTACAATGAACCTCTCTTTCCCATATTTATTCCTCTCTAAACACAGCAGTGCACAGATTATAGGAAATGGTTTTACATTTAACTTCAACCCCAAGTGGTAAAGAAACGGATCGTATCTCACAATGTAAATTTGCATCTACCATCATTTAATGGATGTTTTATACATGCTATGTACTACTGTGTTTTTATGGAAAGGCAAAAAAATTACTTGGGAATTTGTTTTTAATTAAGCAATAAGGCTCAATGGGGTACTGCTATCATGCAATAAAACCACTCCTGGGGTGTTGTGAGGCATTTGGTCCAGATGAGTGCTTCAAATCACCCCCAGATTGTGATTAGATGATTACTCCCTGGAGTTAATATTAGATGGTTCTCTCTAGAGTTGTCTTATTGCTATTATAAAAAGTCTTCAACAGGGGGAAACTAAGTAGCTTTTGTGCTTGAAGAAGATGAAGTTCGCAGTTTCGACTGTTGAGTGGCTGGCTGAGCTGTGTGGGTCCCATAGATCAATTCACCTATTTAGCATGCGTGAAAGATCATCTCAGTGCAATTCTTTGACCCAAATAGTTTTACAATTAAGTGGCTTTCTTTTTTCTAGGAGATGGAAGGATATAAAGAGCAAACAACTCCAAAATAAAGCAATCCCAAGACAAGGCGCTGAGGAATTTGATTCTGAGATATGTATTGCTGGCTTTATCTTTTTGTAGGGAATAATGAATCCTAATCACTATTATGCTAATTGTATTAACGAAGGCTAATGCATGCAGTAGCGGTAAGAGATTCTCCCAAGTTGGGTGCATGAGGAGGTACACGGCCTGAGGCATTTGTGGGGGCTCCCAAGCTAATGAATTCAAACAGCTCAAATGGTACAGAGCCAAACTGCAGTGCCCTCCCCTGCCTCCCCCCAGCTGCTCTTCAGGGTTGAGGTTAGAAAAGAAATATTTCATTCTAACAAAAGACAAAAAAAAGAAAAAAAACCAACAACAAAACAAAAAACAAAGCTTCCTGCATATTTCAGTATACCAGTAAGAGAGAAATCTCAGGAAAACATTAACTCTTGCGGGTCCCTTCCACTCCCAATTTTTCACAGCTTGAGCTGAAGTACAGAGCAGAATCCTCAACTCCTCCTCCTCCAGGTGTCCCTCAACAGCCCACCACACACCTCCTATTACACAAAATCCCTCTGGTTTCTCAAGCAGGCAATAATTTTTACACTTCACAAATTAAGGTGTGATCCTTCACACATCCTCTGCGCCCTAGCCTATGTCACATCTCATACCCTGCACAGCCCAGGCAGCAATACACTCTCTAAAAGCCAATAAACCTCTTCCACCTGGTAAGAAATCCCCATGGTTCCTCCTTCGGCTCAGCACCTCTCCATTTAAAGATCCAGCATGCCAATGGATGGGGATCCCAGCCAAGCTGAGGTTTGCTCTCGGTTTCCAGGATGTCAGCAGAACACCTTGAAAAAAAAACCCACACCACCTTTCTGTTTTCCCTTATTTTGAAGAACACGAAAGGAAACAAGGATTTCCTTTTTTTTTTTCCCCCTCCTTCCCCTTTCACAGAGCTCTCTGCAATATGCACTCGATGTCTAAAACTTCCCCAGGCAATTGCAGCAGATGCCTTCCTGCACAAAAGGCATTGATGTGGGGCAAGGCACGGGTCCCTTACAAAGAGGTAATTTTTCCTTTCTGAGCGACACACACACTCAGCCTGGGCAGCAGTTCCAAAGGAAAGAGACCAAAGCATGTTCTTCACATAAATAGAAGCTATATCCATGGGCAAAGCAGGGTTTATGAATGAAACTCCTTTACGTGTCTTTGACTAATCAGTCAATCATAGGTGAACACATTTACATCTTTTTAAATTAACTGATGATTATCACACTCTTGTTCCCCACTTTAATATTTGAAAAGCCTAATCTACCTAAGTTTAGTGTTTGTAATACCTAATAGTTCACCATGATTTATCTTGTGCAATAAAAGCACACTCTGAATATGAGATCACTGTTTAAATAGAATAGCAATAGTAGGAAAAGACTTCAGATGAAGAACACACACAGAATGATGTTATTCTGGAAGGAAGGCTGAGCCCAAAAGATGCAGTACTCTCTCACAGCATGCTGCAAAATGCTTTCAGCAGCTTTTTTAGACACATCTCTTTTTTCCACATTAGTTTCATACGTTTTTCCTCTAATATTACACCCCTCTCTGCACTGAATACCTGCACCTTCTCACAGTTCTGACATTTCATACTCTTTTACCTCACCTCTTTCTCACCTTCCCCTTTCATATTTCGACTAGAACCCACTCCCATTACTGGGGAATGCTACTCAGAAATAGTGGTCTGGCAGCATGCCAAAACCTACTGCTTGTTTGTCAGTGCATACTCACCTGTCCCACTCCTCTGAAGAGAACAAACTTCTTTTGAGCTTTCCCTGTTGTATGTCCCCGTACTGGGCAGCTCTTGGGTGCAACCTGAAGACTCAGGGTGATCGACCCATTTGATCAATCCACTCAGAAAACGAACATGAAGCTCATGCTGTTAAGGATGAAAGAAAGCATGGGTTAATGACACAACCTGAAAAAACTGAGACTAGGTAGCCTGGATTAAAAAAACCAACCAACCACAACTTTTTGATTGAAACAATGCAACTCCTTCCTTGCTTGGACCTGCTCACTTTTCAGCTACAAAATGCCCTTGCTACCTTCAACCCAACAGCCCATATGGGAGAAGCCACAGAGCTGTCACAGGGCACATGGTGTTGGTGCTCCGGGAGACAGGGAAAGGGCTGCCAGTGTGGGACAGTGGAGGTGTTTCTGCACTGCAAGGTGAGGCGCATCCACAGTCCTGGCAGCAGCAGCTTCCCACTCACCGCTTCCCACTCACCGCTTCATGTGGCAGCAGCAGCTTCCCACTCACCGCTTCATACACCCAGCGCCAGAGGTCCACTGTGCCTGGTTTGCTCATGGTTTTAAGTTTCATCATGTCTCCTGCTCACAGTATACTTTATCATGCAGAATGGTACACACTGACGACATCATGTAAAGAACATTTCAGTGACAAAAGACCCTGAATATTTTACAGTTAAGAAGAGGGATACAAATGGAGCTACATATTACATGCTGATCCAAAACAGGAATAAAAACTCTTACCAAGCTTTGGATCAGATCTTCTAACCACTTCTGTGATTACAGTTACAGACCACTGTGAAGATAACAAGTTATTAAAACCAAAATTGGCTTAGCAGGGAAAGCCCTAGCATTTCTCTCTCCCACTGTATGTTTCACCACTGCTATTTATCACTGAAAATTAAGAAGGAACAAGCAAAATACCTTATGCCTTCACAGCACTGAGGTCCACAGACAAGTGCCAAAGCTTAACACAAACACCAGCATACAGCCTGAAGATAACATGGGTTTGAAACCCTTCTTGTAGTGCTGACAACCACACGCGTCGTTTTTACTGGGGAGAACACACCCCCTTCTTTCTCTTCCCTAGAGCCCAACCAAGAGCAAATAATTATTACGTATTTATACACAGCATTTAAATTTAGCCTCTGCTGTTTACCTGCTTGGTCATTATTGGTTGTTCAAGACTTCAGTTCCAACTCTACCTAAAGGCCATGCACAGCACTGCACACACGTAACCAAGAAAACAGGGCTGAAGGTCTGAGCAGGGAAGGGCAACGCACAGCAAACACGAAGGCTCTTATGATGCAAACTTGCAGCTTTAGAATCTGCAAGCGTGAGTGGTTTTGTGCTTCCTTGCACACGACAGCTTTTGCAATGATCACCAAGATTTCTGAGCTGGGACATGACCCTGCAGTGAGGCACACGGGGCTATGAGTCAGGAGCTCCGGGGGCTGTTCCTCAGCCTCCCAAGTGATTCACTCTGAGACAGAGCCTGTTGCTGCTGAAAACAATAGCAAATAACCCACTCTTCCTATTTCAGTGATCAAGCTGCGTATGACCATATGTAACTCTCCAAGTTTCAGTTTTACTCTCTGTGAGGAGGGTACAAATTCTCACATGGTTATTAGAATTTATGCTGCACTTCAAGATCCTTAGAATAAAGTGCTGCACACATGCAAAGCACAGCAATGCCGTTGTAAAAACAAAAGCACATTGGCTGTGTATTGCTTCCTTAAGCGAAAGGCAGAGGAGCCAGCAGGTCTCAAGGTTGATTTCAGGAATACTTCTGTCACTCCGACAATCATTTTGCAGCCAGGCTCCTAGGAACAATTCAAAAGTGGGTAACTTCCCGCACGTGGGCCAAGAGAAACCCCAAGGACACAATGACCCTCTGAAATGGGTTTGTCTGGCAGCGGTTTCAACACATGTGGCTATTTTGGAAACTGACATTCTGAAGTTTCAGTCTGCACTGACAGAGCCGAGCAGGGCTCCGATTTCTGCACTGTCAGACTTGGAAGCACCTCATTTCTAAAGCACACAAATGATGCTGGTAGGGCTTCAGAGACACAAATCAATCACAGCAGTTCATACGTTTCTAAAATAGGCCGATTACTGAATCCACCGGAAGCCAGATCAGACAAACGATCATCCCTCCACGCACACCGTACCCTCACAGAGCATAGGACAGAGGTTATTCATGCTTACAAGTAACCCGTATAATGAACACACGTTGAGTTATTCACTCATTAAGTAATAGGAGTATTCCAAGCTCAATTCAATAAAATCTCCACAGTTAAAAGCTGTCTCGTCCACTGATGAAATACCCCAGGTAGTCAATTAGTTAAAACCACTGTCTGTCCTATGATCACAGTGGGTTCCTAACATCCCAAACTGAGTATTGAGTTTTATTCAAAATAATTTTATCAAATGCCTGTTGTTTTTTTGGTTTTTTTAAACATGCACTAAACATACACTGCGCTCACAATTTAACACAGGTTTTTGTTACTATCATAATCTAATATTTTCCTGCAGGCTGTTGTTGTAATTCTGCCACTAGAAGATAATAAAAAGCCATTTTCTCCCCTGCAGAGCTTACCTTTGGCTGACTCAGCTGAGCAGCTGCAGTTTCCTTTACTTGCTTTGAAATTATTGTATCCCAGTTGGGCAAGATATTTCTGCTACTGAGAAACAAGTGGTTCTGGAAAAAACGCCAGAGGCAATAGATCAGATAAAGCAACTGGAGCAAGGTAAAGAGACTTTAAAAGCTGGTTATTTGGGCTGCAGCTTTTTCAAGTGGTCCCACAAATGTTTCACTTTCACAGCCAGGAAAAAAGAGCTCCTGAGTCTGCCTATCTTAAGATTACTGGTTAAACTCTGAGTTTGTGTCTCAATAAGGCATTCAAACAAGGATGTAACAGCTTCCAAAACAACCAACCAACCGAAAGTCAGCTCTCAAGTGCGACCGGCTAATACTGACTGCACGCCCAGTGTGTACCTCGAGGCTTCCCTTGCCTCGTGCAGCAGTTGCCTAAACACGCCTCCATTTCTGACTGAAGAGGGAGAAAGTAGAAACAACCTTCAAATTCCAGGCTGTTTGGATAACCCAATGCTACGTATGGCCAACATGTAATAATTACAGCCCAGGTGAGTGTATTGAGAAACAACAAGAAAAATAAATCAAAGTACTACATCTCAGTGATAAAGACTATGATTAGGATAACATGAGAGCAAATTCAGAATAGTTTTAGCACATGGGGGAAAAAAAACAATTTAAGAGTAATAATCTATGGTTGGTTAGATTATTATTCTGGCAGCTAAGACAAACTCTGACATATTTAGTTCAGTGCTTCGTATATTTACAGTTAGCTTTATGTAAAAAAGCATTTTGTCAAGGATGAATTTCTAAGCTAGGCAGATCTCCCCAGACCTAGAAGACTGCTTGCGAGGCAGCCAGGATGGAGACTGCTAGTGTCCGGGCTCAACACAAAACAGCTCCCAGTTGCGAGAACTGGTCTGCAAAGGCTCTGCCCCTCCTTCCACTGACAGAGCACTCACTCCTGCTCTCCCACAAGGACAGAAAAGACCCCACACTAAAGCCCTAGCAACAACCTGAAAAACACTGCTCAGCCCAGCAGCCTGCCCTCTGTGGTGAGCTCTCTTCTCCCAGGTTTTCAGAAGTCTGTTGACAACCCAACAGCCCTCTCTGTAACCCTCTCTCATACACTGCCAGGGAGCCACGTACCACAATTAACTTAGTCCATGTCCTCGTTCATCTGCTCGTCTGACACAAAGTATGAAGAAATAAGGTCTTGTGGAAACTCTCGTGACTGCCCAAGCACTTTAGCTCTAAAGCGCACCACAAGCTTCCCAGCCCACATTATTATTACCAAAGAAAACGAAAACCTGAAAAAAAAAAACATTTCTAATACCCTGACAGGTCCATCAGTTCCCATTAAAAATAGAAAAGCTATTACAGAAAGTGAGCAAGCACCTGAATTATAGATCAGCGCAGGCCCGGGTAGCTCAGGGTTGTTTTACAGTGCCAGGCAAGGGCCAAAGCTCAGCTCACCCACGCCTCCGGCCCGGGGCGCCCGCAGCAGGTGCCGAGGGGCGCCGACGGCCTCAGCTCACCCGTCCCACCACCCTCACGGCAGCGGCACAGGCGAGGGGTGCTCAGCGGCCCCTGGCACACGCAGCCGCCGGGGAGGCACAGCCACGGCAAAAAGGCGCCCCTGGAGCATCCCCAGGGGGCCCAGCCCCGGCGCTGACAGGGCATCGCCTGAGGAGAGGCGGCAGGAAAGGCCCGAAGGCGCCTGAAGGGCCGCATGGC